TACAATGGCAGAGTTGAGGAGGTACAAAAGCAACTGTATGGCCTATGTGAAAATATTTATCTGGCCCTTCACAAAAAAAGTTTGCTGACCCCGTCCTAGACTATAATTTTTTCAAGGGCAGAGACCATGTCTTACTAATATATTAAATTTGGATAAATACCGTTCCTGGTAAATAGTGAGTGCTCAATAAACACTAGTGAATGAATCTGCTGGTTTCCAAACCTGTGTTCTTTCCAGCCCAGCACACTGTTGAGCTCACTGCATTAGCTTAGATTCAACTTGAACCAGCTTCTTCTTTCTTTCAAGTAGCAAGATGCCCTGAAAGGACCATCAGAAGCTCCAGGGCCTCTTTTTCATGACTGAATAGTTCGGGACAGCTTTGCTAGGAAAAAAAAGATGGCTAAGCTGTGCATTTATGGGATGGGCTTCTTATCTGTCTCAATCCCACAGCTGTCTCCAACAGTTAGATGTAGCACAGAGGTCATGCGGCCAAGGCCTTGTTGACATTTGGAACATGGTTGTTAGCATCTAATGCCTGCATTTCCTGGGGTTCCAAACCAAGTGCTGGTGTCCTTTTTTTTTTTTCTGTCTTTTTTACTAAACCAGCCTCAATTTGCAGCACAATCTGCCAGTAATAGAATCCACATGCCATGTGACCATCAGGGGGCGCTGCAGTACCCACAGCGCAGGGGAAGCAGAGCACAGAAAGGGCAGGGGGTGCTGGCCTCGCCCTGTCCTCGCCCAGTCCTCCATGCAAATATCATGAAGGGCGGACATTTGCATAGGAAACACTCCCGGATGTGGCCTGGGAGGCCGAGGTCGAGGCCGGTGTCTGCAAAAGGCAAAGCTCTGGATGCAGAAGTATAGAAATGAGAGCCAGTTCTCTGCCATCGGTGTTCTAAGGCTGTAGCACAGACGTAGTCCCAGGCTGGGTTCACGCTGCATGGGCTGCATGATTAAATAAGATACGCTACAGAAGCTGCCCACCAAGGAGCTGGGAGTGATTAAAATGGAATTGTGGGACACAGGCCTTGCTGCCAAGATGACAGGCCACGGCGAGGCCACCTGTGGATGTGGAGTTCACAGGGCAATTTGAGTGTCCATGGCCAGGGGAGCAGTGGAGGACCACAGACTGATCAGGCTTTCGTCCTAGGTACAGAGAGTCTCTCGGGATGCTTTTCTGCAAAGTAATTGGTTTAAGATAAAAAAAAATTTGCTGCGTCCAGAGAAACCAGAGATTGGTAACATCCTCACTTAACAAAAACACCCAGTGTGTGTGTGTGTAGGAAGTAGCCTGACTGTACCTTTTAATGTACTGATGACCAATCAGAAAATCTTTTTTGAGTATCAAGGATTATTGTAAATATCTCAAACATTTATTAGGCCAGACAGTAAACAGAGGGTTAAGAACCTGTGCTTTGATGTCAGACAATTCTGGCTACATGCCCCAAAGAACTGGGACTTGAACAGATATTTGCACACCCATGATCATAGCAGCAATATTCACAGTAGTTAAAAGGTGGAAGGCTGGGCCGGCCCGTGGCTTGGCAGTTAAGTGCGCGTGCTCCGCTGCTGGTGGCCGGGGTTCAGATCCCGGGCGCGCACCGACGCACCGCTTCTCCGGCCATGCTGAGGTTGCGTCTCACATACAGCAACTAGAAGGATGTGCAACTATGACATACAACTATCTACTGGGGCTTTGGGGACAAAAAGGAGGAGGATTGGCAATGGATGTTAGCTCAGAGCCGGTCTTCCTCAGCAAAAAGAGGAGGATTAGCATGGATGTTAGCCCAGGGCTGATCTTCCTCACACATACACAAAAAAGGTGGAAGGAACCTAACTGTCCATTGATGAATGAATGGATGAACACAATGTGGTATATACATACAATGGAATATCATTCAGCCTTAAAAAGGAAGGAAATTCTGACACATGCTACAACATAGATGAACCTTAAAGACACTATGGTAAGTAAAATAAGCCAGTCACAAAAGGACAAATACTGTATTATTCCACCTATATGAGGGACCTAGAGGAGTCAAATTCATAGAGACAGAAAGCAGAATGGTGGCTGCCAGGGGCTGAGGGGAGGGGGAATGGGGAGTTATTGTTTAATGGGTACAGTGTCAGTTTGGGAAGAAGAAAAGTTCTGCAGATGGATGGTAGTGATGGTTGCACAACAATGTGAGTGTCCTTAATGCCCTGAACTACAAGCTTAGAAATGGTTACAATGGTAAATTTCATGCTACATATATTTTACAATAAAAAAACTCAGTAATAGCTGTGTGACCTTTTTGTTTTTTGTAATTTTATTTATTTATTTATTTTTCCCCCAAAGCCCCAGTAGATAGTTGTATGTCATAGTTGCATATCCTTCTGGTTGCTGTACGTGGGACGCGGCCTGAGCATGGCTGGAGAAGTGGTGCGTCAGTGCACGCCCGGGATCCGAACCCGGGCCACCAGCAGTGGAGCGCGCCCACTTAACCACTAAGCCACCGGGCCGGCCCTAGTTCTGTGACCTTAAACAAGTTACTTCACCTCTCTGTGCCTCTGTTTCCCTATTATGACATGGGACTAATGATAACATTTACCTTCAAGGGTTGTGGTGAGGATTAAAAAAAAGATGATGTAACCAGGCTTTTAGCACAGGTACCTGCACACGGAAAGGACTCATTGAATGTTGGCTTAAGACAGAAAATAACATCTCAAACGCAACCTGATTTTTCACAATGAGCAGTAGGAGCATGATTCACATCAGCTGTCACTCTACAGAGCCGTGGATGTGGGAGGCAAGTGTACTGAGCTCCAGTCACACAAAAGAAGAGTTTTTTGTTTGTTTTAAATTAATTCCTGATCTTAAGTCATTTCATTGTTTCTTCCTAGCAAATGTTAACCCCCCCATCCTGAGCACATAAAACAAAATGAAGTGGCAATTGGACAAATTATTTTAATTCCCCTGAACCCAGTATCCCACTTGTGAAATGAATTGGATGGTTCCCAAAAACCGGAGTGGCCTTAGGGCTGAAGTCACAATGGTCACCTGGGAGCTTGTTAAAAATACAGATTCCCAGGCCCCACTGCGGAGATCACTGGGGCTGGGGGGCTAAACAGAGTCAGAACGCTTCCCAGGTGATTCTGATTAGTATCAGGTGTTGGGTCTGCCCGACTAGGAGGTCTCCTTGGACCCCTCCAGTGCTGACAATCTGTTCTCAACCTTGGCCACATCTGAGAATCACTTGGGAAGCCTTGAAAAACACCTTTTCCTAGGCTCCACTCACAGAGGCTAATTTGATTGGTCTGTGATAGGTCCCCGGCACGGGGATTTTAAGTGAGTGCCCAGGTGATGCTACTGAGCAGTGAGTGATGGAGAGCATAGTTCTAGAATAGCAGTTCTCACCTTGAGGATGCACCAGAATTATCTGGAGGGCTTTTGAAGCCACAGATGGCTGGGCCTACCCCCAGAGTTTCTGATTCAGTAGGTCTGGGGTAGGGGCTTAGAATTTACATTTCTAACAAGTCCCTCAAAGATACTGCTGCTGGCCTGGAGACCACACTTTGAGAACCACAGTTCCAGAACCTTGCTACTCAAGGTGTGGCTTGGACCAGCAGCAGAGGCTCCACCTGGGAGCTTGTTAGAAACGCAGAACCCAGGGCCACCCCAGTTCTGCTGAATCAGTCTGCAACGTGAAGAGAAGCACTGTTAGAGAACAACTCTGCTTTTGAAACTTCTGGGTTCCTGCGTTCACTGTATTCTGAAGGGCGGGGTGAAGGGAAAGGCACCTTTTCTAGAGCAGGAAGCAGGCCTGAATGAGCAGGCCAGCATCCACCCTCTGCCCTGACTCGGTGTGTCTGCACAGGAAAAGGTTCTCCCACTTCATCGCGAGGTGTGTGCTCAGGGCAGCGAGGGCGGGATGGATTACCTTGGCATGGTTGTAAATGTCCACACAGTTGTCCGTATTGATGCTCTTTGCACAGATAATCTCGCAGTGTCGCTGCAAAGCCTCCAGCTGGAAAAATTTAGCTGCAGACAGAAGCTGAAAACCATAAAAAGAGCCTGTTAGAGGTTGGGAGGTGGAAATAAAGGAACGACAGTGGTGAGAAAAATCCTCATCTTCCCCTGTGGTGTCCCAAGGTGACAGGACTGGGAATAAAGGTGACGGTGTGTCACTCTAAAGCACAAAGGTAACCCTAGAGGACTAAGAGCAACAGAATCTACCGTGGGGGACGACGGCAGAGGGGAGGGGGTGGGGGTCCAAGTGAACCAAATTCACATCTATTACAGCAGGAGGTCAAGCAAAGATGCCTAAAATTGTTATGTCCAGAAACGAGGGTGAACGTCATTATTTAGCAAGATGGATATCCATGTGGCTCACTCCCTCTGTTCATCCAGGTCTCCATGTAAATGTCCCCTCAGAGATGCCTCCCAGACCACGCCCCCTCAGGCTGCCTCCCTCCACTGCTGTCTGTCCCCCTGACCCTGCCTTAGTCTTCCTCATAGCCCGTCTCCCACCAGACATGACGTCATGCCTGTCGCCCTCACCAGAAGCCGAGTGGGCAGGCAGCTCTGTCCCGGTGCATCACTGCTGTGGCCTGGCCCTGAGCACAGCGCCTGGCCGGAGATGCTCAACAGAGGTGTGTTGAGAGAGCGACAGGCTTTGGGGAGGGGAAGGAACAGCTCACGCACGAGTTCAAAGGAATTGGCTTTGGGGAAGGGGCTGGGGCGGGCAGAGTGGGGTGGGTGAGCTGCTCTTTATGACAGCCCTTCTGTATTATTTACATGATTTAAATGGATGTTCACTGTTTTGATTTTAAAATAAAAAAATGTTTACAGAAGAGCCTACGTCCTCAGACTGTAGCCTGGTCTTGAGGTAGAGAAGTGTCAGAGAGACAAGAGAATAACTTTGGGAGTGCGGGGGTAGTGACCACGGAAGGCTTCAGAGTAAGAAGGATAAATGGGCCACACAGGGAATACATAGCCCTGTAGCCCTCACTATGTGCCAGGCACTGTTCTAAGCACCTTATAAAAAAAAAAGCAGCTAAGAAAAGAATTTTTTTAAATTCTTCAAAACCCAGTGAGGTAGATATTGTTATCCTCATTTTACAGGTGAGGAAACTGAGGCTGAGAGAGGTTAAATCACTTGTCCAAGATCACACAGCTCAGAAGGGGCAGAGCCTGGATTTAAACCCAGTCTGGCCCAGAGTCCCTGCTTTAACCATCGTGTGGGGTCGCCTCTTGAATGACGGATAGTGTTCTGACATCTCTCATCAGCCAGGCACCCTGGCCTTCAGACACCTGCACGGGGTCCCAGCTCTTCTGCTCAGGATTATGAGTGATTTTGGGTTCTGGTTCAAAGCTCCCAGCTTTGAGTTGGAAAACCGACAAGAGTTCCACTCCTAGGAAGGAGCAGGGGAAATCTTGGCCTTGGACAGAAAGGGGCAGAAACAAGGCCCCTGGACTAGGAAGGGGAGAACAGGCTGAATTGGAGAGGTAGACAGGAGACAGAGGAGAGCCAAGGAGCTGTGGGATGAGCGACAGTCAACCTGAGTGAGCAGGGGGAGCTCTGTAATCAGCTCTCTGCTTCTGCATCCAGGGACCCGCTGTGATTTGAGGAATATTTTCAGATAATATAATTATCTTACAAATGACAGAAGAGAAGTTGGCAAGGATAGTGCCTGATGACGGTATTTGAGCCCAGCTGTGCCTCAGCCTCTGCAGTAAATTTCCTTTACCCCACCCCCCACAGCCAATTAAAATTGGATTTCACTCACTTGCTACTGAAAGGGTTTGGGCTAGTGCACCGAGCACCCAGCCTTCCAGGGATGGGCTCTGCTGAGAAGCCCTTGGGAGGTCTAAGGGGGCAGGCAGGACCCCAAAGCCTGTATCCAAATGAAACCCAAGACAGGTCCCCCCAGACACTGCTGGTGACCGAGTTTACAGAGGCACCACCCACCCAGTAACATGAAAGATTCCTTACCTCCATTATCTCATTGTTTTTAATGAGAAGTGACTCTGGGCCGCCGTAGTAGAGATACTGCATGACCAGCTGCAAGAAAAGACCAGGGAGCAAAGTGTCCATAGCACGCAGTCACAATCATCTTAAAGTCCCCCAGTCGAAGCCTCAGGCTAGTTCCTGCGTCCCTCCAACACCCATTCCCAATGGTTGCCATTCTGTGATGGCTGCCTTACAGAAGTTCCATTTAGAGCACTTTTTTTGTTGGATGTTTTTTCCCTTAGAGCATGCTGCAATTTGTCTCCTTGTGGTTCTCCCCAGCTTCCAAGTCAAGCCCAGGGCCAAATTAAACATTTCTAAGCTCTGCTCCCCAGGACAGTTCCCTCCATCTACGGATGGCAATCATGGGTTATCTGCTCACCTCCCACCCCATCAGGCTGCGCAAAACTGCTGCACACGTGACGTGGCTTAAAGAACCCGCAGCAGTGGCCGCTGCCCTGGGACCATGGCCCGGTCTGACCAGAAGCCTCCTGTTTAAGTCCCAGAGAGTGACTCTGGGCTACCACCGGACCACCTGCTCATTACAACTCGACAAGATCCAAGATGAAGCCATTAGGGGTCCAGGTTTCAATGTTTCATTGATGGTGTGAACAGTCCAAGCCAGGCTGTTCCTTGTTCCTGTGACTCAGGATACTCAAGCGGTGTGCAAAGTCCCAGAGCTTTGCAAACCGGTGTCCCTTAAGTAGAATGAGGCCCACAGATGGGTTAGAATTGGCTGTCACCACCTTCCATGAAACTGAGTGTTAATGTTCCTAGGTGGTGTGTACCTTTTCCAGTTGGCCACAGTCTCCTCCACTCCCTATTGTCTTCTGCTTGCCTGTATGACACACTGACTTTACCTGCCTGGCTCTGAGGCAGCTGTGTTGGAAAAATCTATAGACTGGTTACATCCTGTCTTTGGGCACCTGTAAAATGAGGTGCTTGGACTGGGCTCCCCTCTATGATCCCTTCAGGCTCTGATAGTCTGTGACAAATATAGGAAAGTGGTTAATTGCAAGGACCCTGGATTGGGCTGCCTCAGTTTCTGATCTGGCTCTGCTGCTTAAAAGCTGGGTGACCTGAATTCAGTGAGGCTCTCTGTGCCTCAGTTTCATCATCTGTAAAGTGGGGATAATATCACCTACCTCATGTGGTTGTGATGAGGATTAAGTGAGTTAATACATGTAACAGGCCTAGCAGGGGCCTGGCCTATGGCAAGAAGTCAATGAATTTTAGCTCTTTAATTTTCTCTGAAGTTGAAAAATCTTTTTCCAGTAGTGCTTTTGCCATGTGCTGCCACTTTCTTACTCAGGCATTCAAGACCCTTTGTGACTGATCTCAATCTACTTTTTGTATGTGTGTGTTTAAAGTAATTGTTTTTTAAAAAATATTGCTTACGGCTTTATTGAGATATATTTCACATAACACAAAATGCATCCATTTAAAGTGTACAGTTCAGTGGTCTTTAGTGTATTTGCAGTGTTGTGCAACCATCACCATAATCTAATTTGAGAACACTTTCAACATTCCCAGGAGAAACCCTGCACCCATTAGCAGTCTCTCCCATTTCCTCCTTGGGCCAGTCCGTCAGTTGACAACCACTATGGGTTTGCCTGTTCTGGACGTTTCATATAAATGGAATCATACAACACATGTTCTCTCGTGTCTGGCGTCTTAGTGTGATATTTTCACGGTTCACCCCTGTTGTCACATACATCACTACTTCATTCTTTTTTATTGCTGATCAATATCCGGTTGTATTGATGTACCACATTTTGTGTATCCACTCATCAGCTGGTGGACGTTTGGGTCGTTTCCACTTTTTTGCTATTATGAATACTACTGCTATGGATCAGTTCACTTGTTCAGATCTTATCTGCCCCTTTGCCTTTCCCTCCTCCTAATCTTGATAACAGCTGCCTTTTAGGCTCTGACCACTCCCAATCACTTGCCTCTCTCAGAACCTCTCTCAGAGCCTCTTTCAGCTGATCCCTCTGCCCGGTGCCCTCCCCTTCTTCTCCACATGTTGAACTCTGCCCCTTTTTTGGGATGCAGCTCAGCGGTCACCTCTGTGAAGCTGCCTCAGATTTGCTCAGATCTCCTAGCTGCCCTCCACCCTGGGTTGGGCAGCCCACCAGCCCGGACTGCAGTGTGATTTCCCACTAGAGCTTGAGGGCACAGACTGCGTCTTGTCCGTTTCCACATCCCCAGTGTCTGCACTTGCAAGTGCCTTTTAAACAAAAACACGGGGCTGGCCTCGTGGCTTAGCGGTTAAGAGCGCGCTCCGCTGCTGGCGGCCCGGGTTGGGATCCCGGGCGCGCACCGACGCACCGCTTCTCCGGCCATGCTGAGGCCGCGTCCCACATACAGCAACTAGAAGGATGTGCAACTATGACATACAACTATCTACTGGGGCTTTGGGGAGAAAAAGGAGGAGGATTGGCAATAGATGTTAGCTCAGAGCCGGTCTTCCTCAGCAAAAAGAGGAGGATTAGCACAGATGTTAACTCAGGGCCGATCATCCTCACAAAAAAAAAAAACAACAAAAACACGAATCCTCCCCTCCCTCTTCTGTGTCTGAGTGTCCCATGTACTGATTTTGGACTTTGGTGACCACCTACCTCTCGCAGAGATGGTGGTGCACTGATGGTGGTGGCTGAGGCTTTGTGAAATAATAACACAGCGTCGTTTACCCTCCCCTTCCCACCCTTATGGGTCATAAGCACCTAAAATACCAAGTCAGCGAACATCGGGATATTGGCTTTATTAAAATCAATTATGCCCCTAGCACCTCTCTATTATAAAGGCCAAACCAATTATTATGACAATAAGAGCCATAATAATAACTTCCCTGAACACAGGGCCTCTCCATTCACAAAGCACTTCTCCATCATGTTATCTCATTTACTCAAGGTGGGGCTGTCGACTTGAAATGCTGCCCCTTAGTGGATGGAGATCCCGGGGCTAATGGAATTTAAATTGGGCTGCCCCACGCCACCTTCAGACTCTGCCAGCTCAAGTGTTTTCTGCAAGAGGGCAAGATGAACCCTTATTAGGCTGAAGGGCCTGTTTATGGAGTTGTTTTTCTTGGCAGCTGTGAACCTGCACGCAGCAGGGATTGCAATGGCGTCCGCAGCCTCACTGAGGTTCCACTCCAGGTGCAGCCTCAGCTGCGTGCAGCTCTCGCCCGCGTGTGAGCGTGTGACGTTCAACAGTCTTGCAGGGAGGGAACTCAAAGCAGTGTGCTTTACTAAAATTCTTCTGTCAGCATGGAAGTGAAGTGAACAGGCCCCTGGGAGCCTCCTTCTGGGTCAGTCAGCCCTACTTGGCCTATTTCAAGCCACAAATGAGGCTTTTCTTCTTTTATGGGGAAGGGGCGGGCACATGGAAAAGTCCCCGGGGCCTGCTAAATCTTGCGCACTACAGTAACTTGAGGCTAATGTGGCCAGGAAACCTTCCCCGGTCAGAAGCAATTACAGGCCTGGAGTCCCCTGGGGCCCTGCATTCCCAGGTAGGTCTCTCACTCAATGAATCCACACAGCAAACATTTATTGAGTGCCCACTACGAGCCAGTGCTTATTACAGGAACCAGCCCAGTTAGTCCCAGGCTTCAAGGTGTAAATGTCCCCTTCGTGAAGCGTGCATTTTCCAGCACCTAGCTCATGCTCCAAACTCCAGTGGGCATGAGCCTCTCCTCAGCGCTGGGGACTTTTAGGGAGGGCCCAAGTCCTCACAGGAGGGAGGCAGTTAAGAGACCGGGTGGGGGAGTCAGCCAGGCCTGGGTCTGCACCTCAGCGTGGCTGTGATGAGCAGCAGGAACTTGGGCTCTTCCTTCACCTCTCTGAGCCCATGTCCCATCTCTAAGGCGGGAGAAGAGCTCCCTGGAGGGGCAGCTGGAAGGACTGAGGGAGACGATGTACTTCTCAGAGTGGGGTCCCTGGACCAGCAGCCTCAGCATCATCTGGGTTCTTGTAAGAAATATGAATTCTCAAGCCTCACCCCAGGCCTACAGAATCAGGAACCCTGGGGGTAGGGCCCAGGAATCTGCATTTTAACAAGTTTTCTGTATCTTAAGCAACTCCTGCCCACCAACCCCGCTGAGATTCTGACGCCTGCTCAAGTTCGAGAACCACTGTAACTTAGAGCATTGGGTCTCCATCTTGGCTGCACACCGGGATCGTGAGAGGAGGCCAGAGACCTCAAAATGTTGATGCCTGGGCCCCAGCCCAGATCTGAGTTACAGCCTGGACACTGGGAATTTTCAAAGCTCCCTATGTGGTTCCAATGTACAGCTGAGGCTGAGAACCACCGGCCTCGAGCCTTATGCATAGCTAGCACTCAAGAAATGGGAGCTGTTCTTATCATTGTTCCCTTTGAGAACGGGTATTCCAGAATAAGCACCTAGGCTTTGGTTCAAATCCTGGCTCTGTCACTAACTAGCACTAAGACTAGTGGTGCATCATTTAAGTTCTCTGGGCCTGGGTTTCTTCATCTCTAAAAATGGCAAGAATAATCCAGACAACCAGGTGCAAGCCAAGGTCAGAGCATCACTCATAGCTGGAGCCCCATACAGGTTTCTTCCCCGCCCTCCCCACCCCTAATCCTACAGCAAAGCAGCAGTTTCATGGAAAATTTCAAACCCAACAGCCACCGCCATTCCAGAAAGGGCTGTGGCCACTTTGTTCTCAGTAGAAAGTGAGGTGAGGGGTTGGGGTGAGGGACTGGGAATAGCGGGACCGGATGTCTGGGGCCGCACCAACTCCCCAGTCTCACTTTGGGGTTCCAGTCTCCTCTCTGCTACTCCTGCCCCAGAGGGACGGCTCACCCAGGCTAGCCTTGTCCTTGGAAAGCTCTTCCGTCCTTTCCCCAATGCTTGGTCCAAAGTAACCTATCCGCAGGAGCCTGTGTCTAGCAGGGAGGTGGTTTATCAGTTCTGGCTTAGAAAAACCACCACCCACTTAAAAATTGCCATGAAGCGCCAGATGCCAGGTTGAATGTTTCCTCACGTGGTCCTACGTGCTAATTTCTGCAAGAACCCAGGACGTAGAGTGATAATGATTAACTTAAAAATGAGGCTCAGAGAAGAGAGTGTCTTGCTCATGGTTATTCGGGAAGGATTCTTTATTTCAAAGTTTCAACATAACCAAAGGAGGGCATCTCTAATGGTGGAAATGCAGGCACCTCAGCAGGCTTTTGGGGCTAGTGTGAGGGCATGGTGGCTTCCTGGCAGCCCTCTGAACAGCAGGATCTGGGGGACCAGGGTTAATGGTGGAGGGAAGAGCCACCATCTGGCCCGCCTTCTCCCCTACTTGGCTCATACTGTCTAGTCCCTATGCTTCTCTTCAATCTCCAATATACCTAAGACCCAGCCAAATGGACTGATTATCACCCTCCCTCAAACACACCCATGACTTCCCATTTTTGTGCCTTTGTGTATACTGTTCCACCTGCTAGAATACCCTCTCTCTTCTATCCACCAGATGAGGAAACTGAGGCTCAGAAAGGTTTATCCAAGGTCACATGAAGGACATTGATTTTAAACAGGGGAATGCAGCTCTTTAAACACAAGACAGTAGCATTTAAATCCTGGAATGCAGCTCTGTCCTTCAAAGTCCAGATCAGGACCCCGCCCCATGACCTTGGTCATGGTCAGCTTTGCCTCCCGGTTATCTCATCATCCCTCTTAGAACACGAGTCTCCCAAGGGCCGGCCTGAGTCTTACCCACTTGTGTCCTCCTCCCAGGGCTGTCCTTCCTGAATTGAACTGGAGGAAAGAAGGTCACCCCCCAGGAGACTCACACTGCCTTAGTAACCCCGGCCAGCGGGAGGACAGCAGTGAGGGTCTGCACCCTCCCCTGTGCGCCTGCCCCTGTGCAGACGCAAGCAGCCCACCAGGCTTCGTGCCCTCGGAGCTCTGGAAATACGGCTGCAAAGCCGGCTGGGGCAGCGTTTATGAATCAGGCATGAAAGAAGGAGGAAAAGGGAAGAAAGCTGCCCTGCCCCCTCAGAAATGCCCCATAAACCAAAACCCATCATAACGGCATCAACTTCTCCCAAACGGAAGGAGACATGGTAATGTCACCCGGCCTTTGACAAAGAAACCTCCCCCCGCCATTTACATTAGGTTCAGACCTGTGTAACAATGTACTGGATTCCGAGTCCACCGGCCCCTCATCGCACTGGGCTCAGCCACAGTTTTGGGACTTCATACCTGCTTTTCCCCACCTGGAATGTTCTAACCCCCTTTCTTAAGCCCAAAGCCTTCCTTGGTTCTCCTCAGCCTTCCATATTTCAGCTAACACCCCATCGGGGAGGCCCTCCCCAATTTCCCTGGTCTGATTCGCCAGAGCACGAAGGCTCACCCCTCTGTCTCGTGCACCCATCACGTCACACTGTAATTGACTAATTAGTTACCCCTCTGGACTGTGAGTCCCCAGGTCCCAGCACAGGGTCAGACACACAGTAGGTGCTCAATTAATGCTTTGGGGATGAATGGATTGTCAAGGGGAGGGGCAGTGGGGGGTGCCAAGAGTGCAGGAGACTGAGGCCTTTTTCAGTGGCTGATCCCCAGGGGGAGGGTTGGAGTGTGCCCACCACCCGGCATTCCAGGTCTCAGAGGGGCTCACCTGAAAGATGGGGTACTTCACGTAGCCGATCTCTATGCAGGTGCTATCATTTGTCGGTTTGCTGGAGAGGAGCGCCTTGAACCTGAACAAGAACACAAAAAGAGAGAGAAAAAAATACTCAAACACATCCGTAGCTCGCCAGAAACTCAGCTCTCTGATGACAGAAACATGTTATATCTTGTATCCCCCCACTCTGAAGTATAACAATGATACATCCACAGATTTCTTAATTTAACACCCCCCCCAAATGATGCCATAATCCAATTGGAGGTTAAAACTCTAAAGTTAAAAACAGTACAATTATTTCTCATACAGGTGACTGGAAAAGAACGAATGCCTTTTAAAACCCCGTCCATCTTTCAGGGCCCGTCATAAAGACTGCCTCCTTCACGGAGTCCTTCCTGAGCCTGGTCAGGCCGCACGCCCCTCTAGTACCCATGGACTCTCCAAATCCTGTCCTCCCTCCTCCTCCATTCACACATCCTTCGCTCCATGAGGGCAGGGACTTCCGCCGTTTCTGTCTCTGCTGCATCCTCAGACCCGATAGTCTGGACCTGATGCATCGTAGGTATTGAATCAACATCTCCCTTTGGAAGACCTTCTGTCTGGTCAGATACACTTTAGATACACTTTCCTGCCATGGACTAAACTATATGCTCCTTGTGGGTACAGACCCTGTCAAGTGATACTCACACACTGATATTCAATACATTTAGGAATAAACTAAGATGTATCTCTCTTTTTTTAAACTTTCAATTTTGAAATAATTATAGATTCATAGAAGAGTTGCAAAGACAGCAGAGAGAGGTCCTGTATGCCCTTCATCCAGCTTCCCCTAATGTTAACATCCTACACAGCCGTGGTACCTTTGTCAAAACTGAGAAATTAACATTGGTACAACACTGATCTGGTTTTTCCATGGTGTCGTAACCAAGAACTTATGCAAGGGACAGCGTATTTTTCTTGTGGCAGCATAGCAGACATCTGGCGCTTGTATTTCGTTTGGGGGCACTGGAGATGCCAGGATGCTTTTTGGAACCCAGGAGTGCTGGTAATACACATTCAGTAGCAAACTTCCTGCAAGTGGGTTCCCGGTGTCCTGACCTTCTGCTCAGCCCCCGTCGGCTTGCCTCTTCCTCATTTCAGCATCACTTTCTCCTCCGCCCAGCTTCACTGATCCCTGTGCAGGTCCTTGGATCATGTGGTTCTAAGTGGTCAACCCAACCTCAACTCAAATGGAAAGCAGGAGAACGGGCAGTAGGAGAGCCAGCAGGAGGGTGAGCTCCACCACTGTCAACCCCACTGGGAGGGAAAAGTAAGATTCCAGACTTGCGTATTTTGGGTGGCTTAGGCCAAAGTTCCCGGACATCTGGAGAGTAGGCCTTTCAAGGCTGCTGTGTATAAGGTTTCAGGGGTTCACTGCATGAGGGCACCTGGCTGAGGAGCTAAAATCCAGCCCATGCTCTGCACATGAAGCTCTGTGCCTGGTACGTGCTCTCTCTGCCTGGAGGAACGGTGTCTTGTCTGAGTCACACAAAGGGGCTGCTGTTCATGCCAGTGGCTGCCCTGTATTCTTTCTTTTAATTGTACTAAAAAGCACATAACATAAAATTTACCATCTTAACCATTTTTAAGTGTACAGTAATGTTACGTATATTCACATTGTTGTGCAACCAATCTCCAGAACTTACTGTGTGCCCATTAAACAACAACTCCCCATTCCTACCTCCCCCCAGCCCCTGGCAACCACCATTCTACCTTCTGTCTCTGTGAAGTTGACTACTCTAGGTGCCTCATATACATGGAATCATACACTATTTGTCCTTTTGTGACTGGCTCATTTCACTTTGCATAAGGTCCCCAAGGTTCATTCACATTGTAGCATGGGTCAGAATCGCCTTCCTTTTTAAGGCTGAGTAATATACGTATATAGCCCATTTTTTTAATCCATTCATCCACTGATGGACACCTGGGGTGCTTCTGCCTTTTGGCTACTGTGAAAAATGCTGCCATGAACAGAGGTGTACAAATGCTGTGTACTCTTCAATCCTTGACTTTGATAATCGGCCAGTCCAGTGAAGATACCACCAAAATTGAATTTCAGAGAATAGTTATAGCAACAGCCACACTCATAATTCAGCAGCTTTCAAAACTGACAATACATACCTTGGAGAAGCTGTAAATAACAGCACTTTGTGAGCATAAAATGGTCTTCCTTCTACCAGAAAGGTAACATCAGACATTTCTTTATTGTTAAGGAAATGAGGATCTAGAACAGGAAAGGGAAAAAGGGTAGCTTTAGCGGAGAGAAGGGTGAAGTTTGGATTCCTCTTTTGGAAAGTGCCAGTAAGAGCTGACAGGGAAGCCACGGAGATCAAATACTCATTGGTGAGATGGTGACTAAACAAGAGATAGAATCGATCAAGGAACACTCAAGTCACTGAAATGCAGTTTTTCATAGGAAATTTTCATAGCTTATTTGTGATGAAAAGTAGTATTTCCCCATAGAAGACTCACCCAGAGCCTGAGTTCGGAACTTTCAGGTGTGAAAGGTAAACAGCTGCCCCCCTGGCTTCTAAGAATGCAGCCCACCCCACCTTCGCTGCTCCTTCTGGGGCTCAACGCCCTCCCTGCCCGGTGGAAGAGGTTTAGAAGAGCCGCCGCCTGCCCACTGTGTCCGGGAGATTAGAAACCCAAGCCTTTCTTTCCCTGGGTCAGCAGCAAATGAGACAGTCCCCTGCCCTCATCTCCAATAATAACCAAGAACGTATAACTAGCACTTGCTGAGCACTTACAAGGTGCCAGGCACCGTGTAAGCTGGCACTTACATCGTGCAAACTCACTCAGTCCTGGGAGATAGGGACCATTGTCAGGTGTGCACTTGAGGAAACTGAGGCACGCAGAAGTTACAGGGACTTGATCAAGCCAGTGACAGGCGGAGAAGCCAGGATTTGAACTCGCACATTCCGATTCGAGGGCCTGCATTGTTAAGCACTAGGATCCTCCGATTTGCCTGTCATTTTAGCCATGTAGACCTGGGCCTGCTGAGGGTGCCAGTGTGTCCTCGGCTCAGCATTCTGTCTTGTTGGGAATATCCCCCAACACCCCCCTGCTCCTACCAGGCTCCACTCGGCTCAGTTCCTAAGCCAGTTCACCCCAGGCAAGAGGGGAAGGTGGCTCCAACCTCTGGTGGGGCTTCCTATTTGGTCACCTGCCCTACAGCTCACTTGAGCTGCAGTGCCCCAGAGTGGACCTTTAGGAGTCTCTAAATTGAAGATGACCGCTCTGGGGTGTCTGCACCCAAGTTCTCCAGTCTGAGGATGCACTGCCTTCCCGGCTCACGTGAAAAAGAGTCTTCCTGCAGAATGCTCCTTGCCCAGTGCCCCTCGTCCCTGTGAACGGCACCACCATCCACCAGTTGCCCACACCAAGGATCTGAAGGCACAGGACACCTTCCTCTCTCGGGCTCACCCAGACCTAGTCCATCACAAGCACTGCCCTTTCTTCCTCCTAAGTGTTCTCGAATCCCCCATTTCTCTCCATCCCCTCTGCCACTGCCCTGGCTAGGGCCCCATCCTCTCCTGTCTGGGGACCTGCAGGAGCCTCTGTTGGTCTCTGCCTCCACTCTCAGCCCCCTCAATCCGATGGTCCACCTCGCCACAGAGTCATCCTTCCTAAGGGCAGATCTGATCATGCCCCTCCTTTGCTATAAAGCTTTCAAGAGCTCCCCAGTGCTCCCTGGATAGAGTCCAAACTTCTTAATGAGGCCCCTTGTGACTGGGCTCCTGCTGTCTTCTCCGGCCCCTCCCTAGTCACACCCCCTGTCTCCCGGCTGGTGTGCTTGAGCCATACGTGGCTGCTTTCAGTTCCCCACAGGTGCTATGGGCTCTCTCACCTCTGGGCCTCTGTACTTGAAGTACAGAGGCCCAGAGGTGAGAGACTTCTTGGGTGTGTGTGCTGCAAACCAGCCCAAGAAGTCTCTCACCTCTGGGCCTCTGCACTTGCTGTTCCTTCTACCTAGAACACTCTTCCAACCCCTTCCAAACGTGGCACACCCCTACGTGGTCTTCAAGCTTCAGCGCAGACACCTTCCATCAATAAACGTTGCCTGATTCCCTGCCCTTTCCAGACGGACCGAGCATCCTCCAGCTGTGCTCTCATGGGGCCTGTACTGTGCCTGGTGTAGCCTCATTGCTACAGTGTATCTACTGTCTGTTTGTCTGCTCTCCCTCGGGCCTGCACGCTCTGGGAGGGCGGGACCTTGTCTGTCCTTTTCATACCTTTTCCTCTGTGTCTAGCACAGAAAGGTATAGAGTATAGTAAAAGTGTGGCCTTGGGGTCAGAAATCTCAGCTGCGTGATCTTGAGCAAGTCACTGAACCTCTCTGTGTCTCAGTTTCCCCTTCTGTAAAATGGGGATGGTAATCCCCAGTATACACCTACATCATGGAGTTGTAGTGAGCATTAAATGAAGTATGTGAAGCACTTACCAAAACGGCAGACACATACTACCCCTCAACAGACGTGACCATTATCGTAGAGGCTCAGTTCATGTTTTTTGAACGAATGAAGAATGCCTTGACCCTTGCTTCAGAGTCTTGTTCTAGAGGCTGCCAAGGACATCAGGCCCCTTCTTAGCCTGCAGACCTGCCTGTTGATGACGGGCCCTTCCCCAGGGGTTAAAGGGCTGTCTTGTAATGGGACCCCAGCTGCTTGCTATGGCTGAGTTTAGGCTGTCCTAAACCACAGATGGTGGGCACCAGCCCCCTGGATTCCTGGGGACTGTGACTCCCCAGTTGTTGGGCCTACCCTGATGACTGCACCTGGGACCCCCGGCCTGGCCCCATTGTGCCCAGACCCTGCTGTAACTTGGACCCAGAATTTGCCTTCCTGGCTGATTCTCTTTACTCTGCCCTAGAAGGTGGGATGGCCCCTCAGCCCCTGTGCTGCCCAGACGGTGGTCCTCCTCTCATATTACCATCAGCACATGTGGCTACCTCACCAGTTCCCACTAAAAAAAAGTTTTAATTTAAAACATCTCAAAAAAAGTCAAAATTACCTGTGATCCCAACATCTTTAAATTTTTTTTATTAAAAAAAAAACACAAAAAACTAAAACTATCCAAGTAAAGGGCTGGAAGAGAGCCTACAGGGGAAGGCCTCAGAGTTGCCTAAAACTCACTTCTCTACTTGCTTTAAAGACTGTTGTTGGAGTGACTTTCTCCCTCTTCTCAGCAACCTGCCTCCCTCTGCTCCCTCTCTCACTCTCCTTGTCCTCCTCCAACCAGCTCCCACTCCTGCTTCCCAAGTTGCTAACATCTCCTACCTTTAGCTCTTTTTACCATTCTCTCCCAGACTTCATTGGGAGGGCAAGTATCACAAAAACGCCATGTGATCTCCAGTTTGCCATAGTCTCCACCACTCCCTATTGTTTTACACTGAACCCACTCCCTGCCTGGCCCTACAGAGATGCCAATTCAGGACCCTTGTCATGGATTATTCTTATTTTTCCTTTAAAGCAGGTCCCTAAAGAACCATTATTTGGCACCCTTTAGTGATTCTAGCTTGAAATGCTGCATTGAAGACACAAACACTACATGCTCCCCATTCCATTTATTAATAATTATATTCTGCCCCTTTTCTTTCATACTGTGAGCTTCGAGCCTCTCAGGCCTGCCTTTCTTCTCTTGGTGCTAACCCCTGGAATTCCAATGCTTGGCCTGAAAACCAGCCCTTTTAATTGCTGGTGAAAGAAATCTCAGCAGGTCCAGAAGGAAAATGTTCCCTCATCTCCTAGAGCCACAGGAAAGCAGACTTTACACTGTGTCATTGAAACAGCCCTTGCAAATACTTGCCCTAATAAGGGTGTCTTGTAAGGCCCCTAGATGACAGAGATTATTGCTACATCCTGGGAATGTAGCCTTCAATCTCTAAAGTCTATTAATTTGGTTGGTCTTTACAATTTGTTGCCCTGATAATACCTCTTTTCTATAAGGTAGAAATACTTGTGGTTGTGGTATATCCTGGCTTGCCCACATGAATGAGCATAAAGAAAGACAGACAACCTTTGACACAGCTGCTAAGTTTTTCATTTTAGCAAAAAGTTGGGTCATTTAAATTAACAAGTGATTCACGACAGGAACAAAAATACTTTAAAACAGTTTTATGAATTCAGTCTTTTCACTTATTTAAACTAGCTCACCTGTTTTAAAAGTAGCAGTTTTTACTAAAGAGTAGAATTTTCAGATGCTTCCATTTCTCCTACATTTCCCAGTTCTTTACAGAAAAAGGAAATAGGAAGTAGGAAAGCCCCCAACCTTCATTGGAAAGGAATCCTTTATCTTTAATATTTTATAACTCCCCGGGCAGCAAGGAGACAGGCCCTTGCAAGAGAAGCTCGTGTTTCAGGCTTCACGGCACTGGGTATTTCTTTGTCTTTTTCCCAGGTAGATCAACCAGGCTGCAGTAGCCCCAGGAAGCTCCGAATGAAATCAGTGCCTGATGGAAAGGTTTCCCCTGGAAAATTCCAGAAGCCGGGACTGCAGAATGATGGAATGACGGCTTTGGGCAGACCTGGGTCAAGCTCCACTGCCACCAGAACTGATACTGCAGGTTCTGCAGGGCCTCCCTTTCTCCAGCTGTGACATGGGATGACTCGCAGGGCCTGCCTCCTGGGGTGGCCTGAGGATCACTTGAGATGGTAAGTCAGGTGCCTGGGCGGGGCTGGCTCAGTGCAAGGGTCCAGAAGAACACAAAGTGATTATTGCTACTCTCACGGGATTTCAGAGCATCCAGTCTCCTCGGCTCAGCTGTGTTCCCCTCGTGCGTGCGTGTGTGTGTGTGTGTGTGTGTTGGGGGGGCACTTGTTCCCCTCTCCTAGTTCGCTCTAGTGGACTTCCATCAGAGGAACACTGCTGGCCTGTCACTGTCCCCTGCTTGTTCCTCCTCTGGGAGGAAGAGGGACTTCTTAGAGGGGAGACTTGGGGGGACAGCTCAGCCTTCTTTTGGCATCTACCTGCCTGCAGGAAGCACATGGGCTGGGAAGGCCTTCTGCAGTCCACAGTCCGTCACTGTCTGTGACTGCGGGAGAAAGTCGCTCAGTGGGAGGGACGAGGTACTGGTGAGTCTCCTTGTCCACATGCCCAAGGTATATTCTCCAGTTGGTCTCCTTGCCTACATTCCCAAGATATATTCTCCAGTTATCACATCAGAAAGATATCCTGATCTCCACCTGCCTGACTCCCGTGTCTATCTTGTTTGCCCTCTGATACGCCCCACCTTCTTTGATGACACTTGCTTCCCCATCCTCCCCAAGTCACAAAGCAACAGCCACGCAGGGCAGGGCGCAGGAGGCACTCACCCAGGCGCGAGGTCTGTTTCCGTTTGATCTCCGTGAGCTTGGGGATGGGGTAGGGCCCATAGCAGTGAGTGAAGATGACGCACAGCTGCTGGCTGATCACTTCATTCTGCGGGAAAGAAAGAACGGCTCACATTGCTGGGGGCTGCGCGCAGCCTCTCCAAGCTCTTGCGCAGGAGTGTGTCCCCCCAAGCGAGAAGAGCCCACAAACTTATCGCAGTTCCAAGAGAAATTTCCCTGGATGCAGTTTGCCCTAGCAGGCCCTGGATCTGCTTGCTCTGTTAGTCCACTGTCTAGTTGCAGTGGGTTCACTGGTGAAAGCTTAATTTGTAATTAAATCCTTCTCTCTTGCCCTAATCATTTACTATCCACTGGAAGGCAGGTTTTGTAACCCACAGATTGGAAACTCAGTTTTTATCCCAAACACACCTTTATCAATACTCCAAAATTCTGGAGGCAACTATTTATCCTGAAAATAGCAGCAGGAAGCCCTTTGATCCTGTGACTGTGCTCTCCATCACCAAGACACAAATACTCCTGATTCAGCTTTCTTATGAATTTGATTATGGTGTGGAGGCATTTCCGGATCCAGGAGTGCTCAGCTGAATCACTTTCTCCAAAAAAAAAAAAAAAAGAGGAAGAAACAGTTCTGCAATGCAAAACTACAGCTGCCCCGATTGCTCAGGGATGAAGGAGCCTGATTCTGTTGACATGTTCTTCATGTTTTTGCCTCCCCCTGACGGCCCCTGCTGTTCATTAATCTCCCTCCAAGTCCAGGTGTGCAGGAGGGAAGCCAGGAATCACAGCTTTTGGATGCTTTTTATTGGGGGGAGGGGGTTGAAACTTAGGGCTAAAAAAGGAGAGTTAGACAGAAAGACATTTACAATATATTAAGAAAAGTAGGTTACAACACAGTGTGTACCATGTATTTTTGGAAATAAAACCCTATATATATATTTGGACAGATATGTATAGAAAAAGGTCTGGAAGAATAGAGTAGCTACCTTTGGTGGGATTATAATGTTTTCCCTTTTCTTTTTATCTATATTTCTACAACCAACAAGTGTTGCTTTTGTAATAAAAACAATACACACTATTTCTGATTTTAAAAGAGGGGTTTGGGACCACTCATGATGTCAGCGGTTCAAGCTATTCTTGAATCTACTTCATTATGCTCCCAAAGCAGAAGGATACAGCTCAACACATGAGAAGAAAATCCAACCCTTCTATTAAAGTGGGTGAGACCCCAGAGGGCACCATGTCACCTCAGGGTGATCCACAGAGGTGCCTAAGGGGACACAATCATACTGGATGGAAAAAGGGACTCTGCTTTCAAAGAGGATGCCTTATAACCAAAGGATGTTAAATGCTCCTTTCACTCACAAAGTGACTGCCTGTCTCATGGCTTAATGCAGTGGTACTCAAAGTGTGGTCCCCAGACCAGCGGTGTTAGCATCACCTGGCAGCTTGTGAGAAATGCAAACCCTCAGCTCCCATCTCAGACCTTCTGACTCAGAAACACTGAGCCCAGCAATCTGTCCTTTAACAAGTTTTCTGGTGATTCTGATGCTCCCTCAGGTTTGATGAACCACAGGTACTGAAATTTTGACTTGGGTTTGACCTGGGCTGGAGGCTGTAAATTTGTTTCCTCTGGTCTAAAGCCTTGCCACTCAAATGTGCTCCATCGACCAGCAGCAGCAGTATCGCCTGGGAGCTTGTGAGAAATGCGGACTCTCACCCAGGCCCACTGAATCAGAATCCACATTAACATGCTCTGCAGGTGCAGATTGCCATGTACACTAACGTTTGAGAAGCACTGTGTGTGGCAGGCAGAATTACGGCCCCTAGAAGATTGCACGCCCTAATCTCTGGGACTGTGACTATCATGAGCTACCACGCCCATGAATATGCTACCTTACAGGGCAAAAAGGACTTTGCAGGGATAATTAATGTTACTAAGCAGTTGACCTTAAAAGAGGGAGATTATCTTGGAGGACCCAATGTAATCTCATGAGCCCTTAAAATTAGAGGCAGATGAGGGATTCAGATGGGATGAGGGAGAAGAGGAAGTCAAAGGGACTGGAAGCCTGAGAAGGATTTGATGCGCTGTTGCTGGCTTGAGGACGGAGGGGGCCACCACATGGTGAGCTTGAGAGGGAAAGCAAGCAACAACACCAAGAGAAAAATAGGACCCCCAGCTGACAGCCAGCAAGGATATGGGACCTCAGTCCTACAACCACAAGAAACTGAATTCCACCCATATCTGAGTGAGTTTGCAAGTGGATGCTTCCTCACAGCCTCCAGAAAGGAACACAGCTTGGCTGAACCTTGATTTTGGCCCTGTGAGACCCTAAGCAGAGAGCCCAGCCCAGACACTTAGTCCTGACTTCCAACCCACGGAAACTGTGAGATAATTAATGGGCATTGTCTTCAGCCTCTAAGTTAAGACAATTTGTTACTGCAGCGATAGAACACTTTAATATACCTCTTCTAGAATTTGCCTCAGTTGGACCACATGTTGTCATCCCTGTGACCTCAGAGCCCCAGACACACCGTGGATGCTCAATGAGTACTTGCTGACCATAAAAAAGATGAGTCTGTGACCTGCAAAATGCTCTGTACAGACTGTACAATGAACGGTGCTGGTCTCACTCCTCTGCACTGGGGTTTGTCCTGCGAGCCCTGCTGGTTAGTCAGCCGCCATCTAATCAACTTGGGGTAAAGGAATGAAAATCCATTTCCTGGACTTGGTGGCCCTGAAGAGGGGCCTGAGCTGCCAGTGGACTCTTCTGTGGGGCTATTTTTTTTTTTGGTGCTGGTAGTTGTTTAATTCAATTCAACAGGTACTTATTAAGCATCTAAGAAGTGTCCCGCACTGTGAAAGGAGTGTATCGGGGGCAACAGAAGCAGGCAAGGCAAGGCCCCTCCTCCCCAGGACTCACAGCTTGACCTCGCTGCCTAACACAGTGCCTGTTGTATCACTTGAGTAAGTAAAGATAAGGGCTGGCCAGACCTGTTCCAAATGGACAGTCCTCAGATACTCAAACATTGTCTGGGCGGAGCATAACCGCCCACTCCTAAGTGAGGGCTGCACAGAATGACTCGAATCCAAAGAGTATAATTTGGAAAGGTGGGAAAAGAGTAAGTTTGCGGTGGAGAAACTTGACGAACACAACCTCAGTGGTGATCAAGGTCATCGTCACCACTGATAACCCACATTGACAGCATGTCCCCTCGATGTGATGAGAGTGGCACTTTATCTCTGTGGCCTTCCTCCCTCAAAACCCATAACCCCAATCTAATCATGAGAAAAACATCACATTTTCCACTAGAGGGCATCCTATAAAATATCTGACCAGTACTCCTCAAAATTCTCAAGGTCATCAAAAACAAAGAAAATCTGAGAAACTGTCTCAGCCAAGGGGAGCCTAAAGAGGTAGGGCAACTAAATGCAATGTGGTGTCCTGGATGGGATCCTGGAGCAGAAAAAGAGATTAGATAAGAACTGAGTGAATAGGAATAAAGTATGGGATTTAGCTAACAATAATGTATCGACGTTGGTTCGTTAATTACAACAAATGTACCATACTAACATAAGATGTTAATAATGGGAGAAAGTGGGTGAGGGGTTATATGGGAACTCTCTGTGCTATCTTCTTCATTTTTCTGTAAATATAAAACTTTTCTAAAAAAATAGTCTATTATTAAAAATCTGCCCAATGAGGAAACAGAATAATTATGATGAAAGCATTAGAAGTTCAGGAGAGAAAAGGAAAGATGAGCTGAGGATTAAAGTGGACGTCCACAGTCCCCTGGGCTTGATGCATTCATCCCCTAAAGGTTTCGTGAATAAAAACCCTTCCCCACACACTAAGCTATGCATCCACTTACTCACTAATTCTTTCTTCAAATATTTATTGAGCATCCGTAGTATGAAGTGCCAGGCACTGGCTAGGCCCTGAGCGTCTCCACTGTGTGAAGGATAACGGTGATGCGCCCAACATCAGCACCAAAGACGTTGCCTTTTCCAAGGCTTTCTGGCCACTTGTCTTTCAGGGATCAGAGCCCTAAGAGAAAACTCCCCAGCATGTACTTGAATTCATCTGTGTTTATCTAGGTCCACTCTGTGCACTTCCCTGCATGCTTCCACTAGGCGATGGGATTGTTGGTATAATTCACTCTGGTTACTGAGCACCCAAAATGAATGGGGACTCCAGGAGGGCTCCTCTGAGTGAGAGGGGGTGGCTGTAATTCGTACCAGTTCACAGCTATAGTGCGGTGAGACCCTTTGGGTTAGGTGGTCAGTTTGGGGCAGTGAACTGGGGTATCGCAAGGGTTTGGTTAGCTCTGCACCAAGCCTGAAGACGGCAGAACAGAATTAACCAAGCTTACGCTCTCTCTGTTTTGGAGGTGGGGGCGGGTGGGGTGGTTGTGCTGGGACAGATGTCCGTATTCTCCTCTGGGCAGCACATTTAAGCACAGTGCTTTCAGGTGAAAGGTGCCACAGGCTCAGACCTCAGGGGTAGCAGGCCAGTCTTTGCATGCAGGTTCTGCCCTGGGAGGCCAGGGCAAGCCCAGGGAGGAAGGTGTGTGGGAGGGGCAGGTGGGCAGGTGGGGGTCTGGCCAGGCCTGAGCGCACAGCACCTGGTGAGCGGTTGCTATTGCCATGCCGCTGGGTACCTGCCATTCGGGTGTCTCACGGACAATGCTGGGTGTGCACATGGGGTGAACTCAGGTCCTCGGGACTCAAAACTGTGCAGCCACACAAATGAACTCAAGAGGAGTGAAGCGAAATTCTTAATACTGCCGTTACCAGGAGACTGTCCTGAGATGGACTCCTGTGGATTTCGGGGCTGACACCTTTCTCTCCTCCTCTGATGCCTCACTCCTCTCCTAAAAAGATACTGAAACAGTTTATCTTCTGAAAGGAACGCTAGAATTAATCCCAAAGGTCCTCTATAGGGTGGTTAGGCTGGAGTTCTATGTAGTGATAAAAATACGGACACTGGGGCCAGATGGAGCTGGGTCCCAGGCCTGGCTCCTCACTCACTAGCTCTGGGACCTTAGCAAAGTTACTCAGCTTCTCTGGGCTTCAGTGTTCTCTTCCAA